ACTTGGCTTCTACCCTGAGCTTTGAAACGGCAGCCCACAGCTTGGCCAGCACTTATCCTTTTGCTTTTCTTCCACTCTAACAAGAGCCTGGAGCTGGACCCTGGTCTAAGGCTCCCAAACATTTGGGGATTGAGAGATGGAGGGATGCCTGCGGCCCTGGAAGGAGCAGCAGAAGGTGCAAGTACTGGCCTGAATGGGCAGTAGCACTCTCAGGGGTGTAGGGAGGCAGGATTGACTCCCTAGGGACCTGGGAGCCAGAGGCTCACGCGGTCTGCCTCCTTGCTTGGGGGATGACCGGCACTCTGGCAGCTCCTGCACAGGGATCCTCGAAACTTGGCTCTCTGCCCCCAAGCCACCTCATTTGAGCTTGTGTGAGGCGAGGCGCTGGAGCCAAGCTGACACTACGATTCATCTAATAGGCATGTAACCTCGGACAGCTTAGTCCTCTATGCCTTGGTCTCCTGTAAAATGGAAATACTAAATACAGCTTATAGAGAGATGTGAAGATGAACGAAGCTGACACAAGTCAAACGCTAAAAAAGGGATCAGAGACACTAGATGTCACCTGTTATCACACCAGTCCTGAAATTATCCTGTAGGTTATTTTCTATTCCTTGGCAGTGGACTGAGAATCTGCACACATGCTAGAGAAACTTTTGGCTTCTGCCTCCTGAGACCTTTAAGGACGCTGTGCCGGACAGCTCCTCTGGCGGCGTCCCTCCTGCCCAACCAGCTGCAGGCTAGTTTCGCTGCTCTGTCCACTTGTGTCTGTTTCAGCTTACGAGCCAGGCGGGCAGAAGTGTTTAATGGCCCCATTAGCACCTCACTGCTTGCTGTGGCCACTAACCACCTCGGCGGACTCCCTCTGGACTGGCTGAGCTGCCTGCGAAAACTAGTTCCTGCCACGGCCCAGGCTTCCCCAGCTAGTCCCAATTCCTCCCCCAGGTCAGTCACACTTTTCACCCAGAAGGCCAAACAAGTTACTGGCTAGATTTTGGAGGCATATGTGAACTTGAAAAAAAAAATCACACAGGCTTCTGATCCTGCTCTACAACCTGAAAGAGACCTCTGGGCAGCTCCATTCACCCAGAACCTTCTTTCTCTTCTTCTCCACCCAACACCTGCAGACATGCCCTCACCCTCACTCCTCACGGTTTAGTATGCAATCGGGCAGGGAGGCAAAGGCTCAAATTTGAAGCAGATGTTTGGGATGAGGAGTGAAGTCGGGGTGGGGACAATAGGAAGGATGTGGACCCTTCTAGAACTGCTTGCTCTGACCCACTGCCAAGGCTGAGGGAGAACAAGTCAATGTTCCTGGTTAAATACCCAGCTATCCCGTGCCAGGCTTTCCTGGGCCTCAGTCCTCAGAGACGCTGGCTCTGCCTCCTGAGTTCTCCATTTCCTGTGCCAACCACTCTCCTGGCCCCCTCGTTCTCACTGCACCAGGCCCTTGAGGCCAGTCCCACCCCAGAAGTCAGGGCTGGAGTTCTGCTTCCCTCTCTTCCCCCATAGTTAATCCACAGTGACAATTTTAAAACCCAAACTTAAGATACGCTCTGACAAGAGAGATTTGTGCTTGTTGCTGGTATGAGAGGCTGTCTGGAAGACTTCACTGAGATGCCAAGACAATAGAATTTTCCAGGTTCTGGAGCAGAAATAGATGAGAACCACTGGAGAGTGTGCTGATGAATGGCTGTTATCTGACCCCTCCCACCATGTCCCCAGAGTGGCACACATGAGCCTTTCTGGAGTCAGTGTTCACTACCCTGAGCAAGCCTCAAAGTCCCCTCTCCAGAACTCAGGTTCAACTCCATTACTGGAACTAGCGGCAGAAACACATGTGGGTATTATCATGAACAAGGCTCGAAGAAATCCTTCTAGGACAGGGAGCACAGTGAGCTGGTATTCTTGAGGCAGGGTTCAAACAAGTACCCATCTAGCTGTGGAGGAAATCAACCATGAGATCTGCCTAGCCCCTAGAGAGTAACAAGATTGGCCACAGCACAAGCAGAAAACACAGGGCTTGTTTCTTGGGTTTGACTAACTCTAAGGGAAAATTGGAATGAAGTTCAATGTTTCCACCCATGGTGGCCACAAACCAATGCCATGGCTCTTTGTGGTGTTGATTCACCTCCTCAGGCTTGGGGGTCACTGGAAATAGCGCTGTCTTTACTCTGCCATCCCAATTATTCTAAGCAAGCACTCGTGTCTGATTGCTATTAATGTTGAAAATACTCCCTTTCCCTGTTCACTCAAGATTTTAATTTCATTCACTGAGCTGCAGGCAACTGGCCAGTTCCCTGCTGCCGAAGTCAATAGCCAGGTCTTCTGTGTCTGGGAGAGCAGGTTAATGGAGAGCTGGCCCTAAGATCAGAGTTCCCTTTCCCAGCCTGGTGCAGGATCTGCTGGACCATAGACTACTATGAGAACTGGCTCCTTGGGTCTGCTTGAGTCCATTTGTACAGAGTTCTTTCGTCTCTCAAAGTCGGCAGGGAGAGCAGATTTCCCTCCATTAAAGGAGCTAGGCATTTTTCTTTCAGCTGTTCCTGTATGATGCAGTCTCCAAACACAGAGGAGACAGTCCCCACCCCCATGAAAAGAAAGCAGCATGTGAAACACAGGGACAGGTGGCCGAGTTTGTGTGTCTAAGCCTCGGGGAAAGGGCGCAACACCGTCACATGCTCACAGACGTGTCCCACACACGAGAAAGGTTTGCTGAAATAGATACGCACAGGACTCGAGGGGGAAAGGAGATCACAAATCCGGAGGTGGAACAGACAGAAGTTAAATGACACCTTGGGAGAGATAGACCTAGGAGACCCTAGAATGATGACACATACTCTTCTTATACAAGAACACAACATTTTGCATTCAAAATATCCTAAGAGCCATCAGCCTTCTCCAGCTGGCTTGCAAATCCTGATGTCCCTGACTCTGCTAATGGGCAGAGGAATGTCTTGGCAGTTTCTCGGAGTGGGAGTTCTGGAGAGGGAACACTCGCACTGTAAAGCAGAGAGAGCGTCAGATCCCACTCAGACAAGCCCACAATGCAGGTGAAGTGAGGGTTTGTCGAGATGACAGCTTCAGCCTAAAGAACCAGGAGGCTCTCACACAGACAGACCATGCTTAAAGAGCTTCAGGAGACTCCTGGTGGTGCTGGTGTGTCGGCGAAGGGGTGTTTCCCTGATTCTGGCACTCTGGAAACTGCTTTTCAGTGAAGTGTGCTCCAGGAATTTGGCCTTTACCACTCGGGTGCTGTTTCATATAAAGTATAGACGGCAGATTTATTCAAATGCGTCTTTCTCTGCAGACAGTTACCAGAGATAAACAGCAGAGTACTGTCTCTGACCTCATTGTAATCATCCATTTGCATGTGACTAAGGCCTTTCCACCAATGTAGAGATAAAAAATGATTTAGGACCAGCCCTCTCGGTTACATCCTCAGGGGTGTCTTGTGTTCTTTATGCAGGGCTCATTTGGAACTTGGCAGTCTCTTCTCCCAGATTATTAGCTCACAGATCTGCAAAACTTTCTCCATGCAGATTTTAAAGCCATGGCTCCTCGCTGCACCTCTTTAAAACGCCCCACCTGGAGTAGGGTCTTGTCGCCATCAACCCCAGGTCACAGTGACTATCAGGTAAACCAAGGCAGAAAGTGTTCATCTGTCACACCCAGCACCAAGTAAGTGTGAGGTGGCCTGATGTCTGGGTTTTCTGTCTAAACTTAGCTTCAAGACACAAAACCAAAAATGTCATTTGGGTTCTGAAAAGAAACAGACCCACGCTCAAATACAGTTCTGATGCCAGGCATGGTGGTGCACACCTTTAAGCCCAGCATTCAGGAGGTAGAGGCAGGAGAATCTCTGTGAGTTCTAGGCCAGCCACAAGTTTGTCTCAAAAAAGAAAAAAAGCTACTAAGTCAGAAATACCAGCCCAGTTGACACATTTGGGGACAATTTACCCCTGAGCCATTTTCAGTAATACTATATATTACACAATACTTAGTAATGCCCCGCTGACTATCACAGAGAATCACAATTATGTCAAACCAGGCCACAAACAGGTCCTAAATGCCCAGGAGCATCCGACAGTCTCAGAATGTATGGTTGGTTAATCAGGTTCAGCAGCAGGAGTCTGGGCTAGATTCTCCCGGGGCCAGAGATGGTTCCAGAGGATTGCAGCCAACTGTGGAAGGGCAAGCAGGAGAGCAGCATGTGGAGGACGGTGCAACTAAACACGCAGTCATATGAGAACCTGAAGGCCGCCAGTGTTCAGTGCTTACCTCTGGAGGGGGGTGATGTGGCCTCTACATCTCCTTTTATTGTTTTGTTCGGGGTTTGTTGTTGCTTGATACTTAAAGGGTCTTTGTCTTATGAGGCAAGGAATCGCCGTGTTACTCAGGCTGGTTTCAAACTCCTCCGCTCAAGTGATCCTCTTAGCCCAGTCCCCTGGGAGCTGGGACTACAGGCATGCACTACCCATCCACCTTGACTGAACGTTTAAGATTTTTTTAAATGTTTGTGCAGACATCCTGGGTCCCTGAGAACTGGAGCTACAGGGGTTATAAGCTGCCCAGTATAGGCACCAGGAACCAAAGCCAGGTCTTCTCTAAGAGTAGCAAGCATCCCAAACCACTAAAGCATCTCTCTGGCCGCCTCTTTTAACTTCTTATTTCAAAGTTTTCTCTGCTGACTTTATGATATAGAAAACAACACATAAATGCTGAAAGATTATTATAGATACCCTTTGTTCATATCATAGCTCACAGTTTCCTCCTCGGGCTCTCAGCACACTTTCCCACTGGGGTGCTATCTATAGCAAGTAGTGTGGCCCTACCTGGCATAAGAACAGGTACTGGAGACCAGCCAGGGCTCCAAGTGCACACCCTATCCACAGCAGACTGCTCCTGCTTATAACAGATAAAGGCCTCTCTACACATTTTCCTTCCCATGTCTATTCAAGACCTGCTCCCCACCCCCATTCAAACAGTCACTTAGCCCGCACTCTTGTAGGCATTTTATTTACTGTACAAATATTTACATCTTCAGCTGCAGACGTCCAGACCTGACAATGTGCAGCGGAGCTCGGTCTCTGCCAAGTTTCTAGAACCAGGCCGACACTCTCGGTTTCCATTTCATGACTTGTCTCCTTCAAGGACACTGAGAAGCCAAACGCTGGGAGAGCGGCTGGCCTCCCAAGCGCCTATGCCACAAAGCATTAACAGAAAAACTGGCCAAAATAAGGAATATGAATAGAAAATTGCCCAAGAAATAACACATCGTTCTATCTCTCCCACATTCAGTATGTCTTCCCCACAGTGGCTAGCGCCAAGCTGTATTAGAAAAAAAAGGTAAAGGAAAATGCAAAAGAGAGCGAAATGCTTCTGGATAGTTAGGAGAGTAAACTGGAATAGAAAACCACACAGTACTAAAGGGGGTTTTGTTGGTTTGGGGTTTTTTTTTTTGTTTTTGTTTTGTTTTGTTTTGTTTTTTTGCTTGTTAAAGACTCTGGTGCCTAAAGACCACCCTGGGATACAGCTGCCCCAGTTGGGCTAGAACAGTGCTTGGAGACTCTGAAGAAGTGCTATGACTAGAGCTTAAAGTGACAGGTCTAGCCAAAACTATAAACTCCACGCCCCTGCATAATCTCTGGAGGGGTGTCCAGGACAGGAGCATCTGCCCCGAGCCAGACCATGACCCCAGCTGGGAGCCCCAGCGGGGGCCTTACAGGCAACAGGGTAACGGCTCCACTATCTTACACATGTTCCATGGGGAAAGTGTGGGCAAGCAGCAGCACCTTGTCCTGGTCCCTGAGGAGAGCAGTGACCATGTGGCATGGAGGATCCTGGGGTGGAGAGGCCCTGATGCCAGGCCCTAAACCCCAAGGACAAGTGAGGTCAGCACCCACGCCAAGAAAGGACAGATGACTGCGAAGGAGGTCGGGCGGGAATTTGAGCAGCTCAGGAGGGCTTGTTTCTTATGATCCCCAGGAACAGGAGGGCTCAGACATGCTTCCAGGAGGCCAAGGCACTGTCACAACAATTGCCTTGTCTCGGGATTCTGTGTACTTGCTGGTTTTGGCAATAAAGATGGCTTGTAATATTCTGAGTGAGTTCCCATCAGAAATGGCGGCTTGTAGCAAAGCCTTACTAAAGACAGAAACTGGCAAGTCCATGTGATCTTGAGCCTTACTGTTGTTTCCATTCAAACACTAATGAGAAGAGATGTGATCATCTTCCAAGAGACTGACAGGTTCTCTTCAATCGCCACGTAATGGTGAACCCAATATAGCTTTCTCCCTCCTTGGTTCCCCTTCCTGGTAACTGACAAGGTACTGCTGCTGGATCTCCACATGTCTCTCCCCAGTGGCCTGACCATGATCTGTGATGGCAGTTCTTCTGCCTCAGTGCTACCAGAACCACCCAAGGGAGGCTGGTAAGCTATGTTTACTGTTCCGGTCCTTTGCTCCCCAGTCCCACCAGAAGAATGCTAAAGACAGCTCCTAACAGACTGCATAAAGACGGAGGTCAGTGGTCAGGCCACGCTAGCCTTCAGTGCAAACAAGAAGCTCAGAGAAAGGCATCAATAGTCTTCAAGCCATCCACATGCCCGGACACGGCCCTTCCCCCGAGAGAAGCACAGCCACGGAAGGCCACAGCACAGCCACGGGAGGCCACGCACAGCCATCCTTCACACTCAAGAGAAAGCTTAGCACATTCTTCATAGATTAATGAGCATCTTCAAAAAGGCCTGCAGGGAGAGTCTTTTCCAGTGTCACCACAAAGAGATCTTTATCAGTCCCCATCAGTGCCAGGGCCTGTGCCTGCCATGATGTGGGAGGCCAAATCAGATGGCTGTGTGAGCCACTTTCTATCTATGCTTCTCCTGTCTAGTGATGAGAAGAGGTGAGAGGTTGCCCAGAAGGGATCATATGCCAGTCTGGTCATGGAGTGAGATCAAGAAGGGTACTTCCAAAGAGCAGAGGGTGCTGGAACAAGGCATGGCGTACAGGGTCTCACACGCCAGTTTTCCAACAGAACTGAGTCCTCCATGTCACCCATTCCTCCCAGCCACTGGGGTGGATCCAGCTACAGAGATCTTCAAAGGACCAAAGGAAATGGCAGCAGCATGGTCCTCTTCTCATGACTGAGTACCCAAGTGGCCTGTGGTAAATGTGGACACAGAGGGGGTGAGGTAAGAGCGATGCTGTAGATGACAGAATACTCCAGACATGAGGGAGCATGCAGTATCTTCTGGCTAGTGGTTATGTGTGTTAAGGTCAGTGGTTACGCTTGTTGACCTGTGTTCAGATGCTCTAGAGAGTGACAGGAGCGGTCAGAGCATGCCGAAGCCCTCGCAACCCTCACTGATGGCCAGCTGCAGCATCCTGTGCACCTCTTCATAGGAGTCATATGTAGGGAGGCACAGCTGGTTAAAACTGGAAAGACAAGGAGGAAGATGATTAATTCACACTCCCAGAAACACGAGCAAGGGCTCGAAAGAGAATCTCCTGCAGGGATGCTCTGTGCAGTCAGACACCTACCATGTGTGTGCAGTAGGAAGAGTGCTGTGGGTTGGAGCAGCGATAATCTGAAATGAGGGACAGAGGGCAGCAAAGCCTCCAGGGGGAAGCTGAGAGGAGCCTGTTGTGAACTGAAGTAGCCGAGCCAGTTCCTCCTGGGTCAGACTGGAAACCACAGTCCAGAACCATCTCATGACCTGGCAGAAAATACAGGGCTATAGTCACATATGGTGTGCAGCCATTTGATCCTAAGGATTTGATCCTCTGGGAAGGCAGATGCTCCCATTTACAGTTCCATGAAGCATGAACAACAACCTCGGCAAGAATTTACATTGTCACAGGGTCAGAAGAGCAACCACCAACTGATTGCTTCACTCTGTTTACCTGCTTTTCCCACTCACCGCCCCAGTGACAGTCTGCAGAACAGTTTTGGGACCGAGCTCCTTGCAGCTTGGAAAACCACCTGTTCCCCCATGTGGATCACCTATGCGCCAGTCAACATGCCAACTTTCTTCTTCTAAAACCTTTCCTCACAAGATGATACCAAACTGTAGAAAGTTTAGCCTGTTACCTTTTCTCTGAAATGCCAAGAGCCACCAACCACTACAGCATGGGCTTTGAAGTCAGACACACTGATGTCTCCGGTCCCACACATCAGCAGCTAAAGAAGGACAAAGGCACACAGGTAACTATTGACATGGAACTGCAGGATAAAAGAAAGACCAGGAGAAAGACAGAAAGTGAGATCACAGTGTCAGAATGAATTGAAATAGGCCAGTGATTCCTAACCAGTGTGGTATTAAAGAAGAAGAAAAAAAAAGGCCAGGATATGGGCCCAGGGCTAAGGGTGCAGTCTGGGGTTGTTAAACAGGCTTAACGGCAGTTTAGCGGGTTGTGGGCAGAGTCTTCCCTAGGACTGCTCCGGTACAGCTCCCTAGATGTGCCTGCATCAGGCTCAATTAAAAAGACAGACAGACAGATATGCTTGTAGCTGTGCCCTAGGTCTATTGCATCAGAATCTCTAGGGCTGGATTACAAGTTTGTGTAACTGAAAGGGTGCTTCTGGTGAGCACGCCTAGAGAACTGCTACAGATTCTTTGTAATTAAAGGACAAAATTAAAGAAAGAAAAGAACTGAGTATATGTTCTAGCAAAGGAATGCCAAAAAGAAAAGGCAAACCCTTTCTCTTTGACGAAAATCCCTAGCCCCATTTATAAGTGTTTTCTCTCAGGATCTATCCTCCTTTGGTTGATTGAACTTTTTTACTTCTCTTTAGCTCCACTTCCACTTGAACAGATAAATTAAAAGGTATGGAGAGAGAGAGAGAGAGAGAGAGAGAGAGAGAGAGAGAGAGAGAGAGAACATTAATAACATCAGAGCCCTAAACATCTTGTTGTGTCCTAATTTGGTTCAAGATTCAACATGTTACTTAGCAGACCATGAGTATCCATCCAATAGCTATAAGGAATGAAACCTCTTAATAAAAAGACAAAAAAGGGCAAAATCAGCCCTAGAAGCTATGGTTTCTTCAAGCCCATGCCAAGCAAATGAGTAACTAGCAGCAGCTGTAAGAGACGGCATCTTTCTTTTATATGTTCTTCCCAATGCTCATGATAAAACAGAATACTCCAGTGCTCCAAAATATCAGCACTGGGTCAGAGGCCTATTAGAAATTTTAGACTGAGAATTCATTATTTTATATCTCAAGACACAAAAAGTGATAAAAATTACAGAAGGCTTTAATTGTTCTCTGACAGTACAGCTAACAAGAAAAAGAATTACACACCACCCGACACACTAATTTTTTCTTTACAAACTTTAAAGAATTTCTTTATGTTTGGTTGGTTGTTTTGTTTTTGTTTTTGAAGACAGCGTTTCTCCATAGCCCAAGCTATACAGAAACTCCCTCTGTAGGTCAGGCTGGCCTCGAATTTAGAGATCCTCCTGCCTCTGCCTCCCAAGTGCTGTGAAAGGTTTTCTAACAGGAAACAGTTTGCAGAAATGAACTCCTCATAAAATCTTGGAAAGTCAAAAGTCCTAACTTTTGTATCAGCTGTGAGGAGCAACAGACAGTAAAGACAAACTGGCTTTGTTTTGTTCTCGACTCATAAGGACTTTAATTCAGCTAACTATAAAAATGGTATTTACTGTCTTACAGCTACTTTTGACTGATACAAAACGTGAAATAGTAACACAGATATGTAAATACACACATGTCCATACACTCTGTGGTACTAGATATGTAAACATACAGACATACATACACACAGTGGTTATGGTCTAAACTTTAAATGTAATCCCATCTTGTGGGATGTCTCTTTTACTAGCATACGGGACTTTGTCTTCTTCACTGCTATTTCTCTGGTATCTCAGTATACAATTCATAGTTCACATACACCTGAACAAATACATTCTATAATCCCCTTAATTGTCATAAGACATTATGAAGACTGCAATTCTCCTTAATAGTCGATTAATATCAATAATAGTTGATGGATAAATATTAACTACCACTCTTCATAAATACTTGTCACTTTCTGACTTTCAACATTCTAATAACAGCTGAAGAAAAGGCCAATGAACAGAAGAGTAACAAGTGAATACAGCGCTGGAGGGATGGCTCAGTGGTTAAGAGCAATGGCTGCTCTTCCAGAGGACCTGGGTTCAACTCCCAGCATCCAAACGGAAGCTCACAACTGTCTGTAACTCAAGTTCTGGGGGACCCAATACCTTCTTCTGGCTTCTGGAGGCACTAGGCACACACATGGTACACAGAAATACATGCAAACAAAAGACTAACACACACATAATAAAATAAAAACTTTTAAAAAGTGAATTCAACTCCTGCATAATAAAAAACTTTTTCAGGAAGCAGAAGCAGGCAGATCTCTGAGTTCGAAGCCAGCCTGGTTTACAAGAACTAGTTCCAGGACAGGCTCTAAAGCTACAGAGAAACCCTGTCTCAAAAAACAAACAAACAAACAAACAAACAAAAAACCAAAACCAAACAAACAAAAGACTTTCTGGCGAGATAGTCAGGCTCTGTCTCAACGTGTTGCCTCTACCAGAAGGCACAGCAAGCAGGAGCCCACAAGGCCTGCTCTCCACAGCAGCAGTCTTGGGGCTGCTGAGATGGCTCAGAAGGTAAAGGCACTTGCTACCAACCAACCCTGATCACCGTGTCCAGCCCAGAGACTCATGTGGTAGACAGAGAGAAGCAAGTATGCCCGTGGCTCTCTGCCCTCCACACTGTGACATGGCACTTGTGAGTCCCTCAACATAAGTAAATAAAAAAATAACACAAAACAAAACAGGTTTGAATCCTAAGCACTTACCTCAAGCTCATTCTCATCAAAAATTGCCAAAAGATTCTCAGGAACCAACTCATTCAAGCCTGAAACAAAAGGATCCAAGTTAAGGCCACACCTGCAAGTACCACACCGACATCTTAAGCACAAGGAGACAGGGTCCCACCTTTTAGGAAATGCTCCACCTCCTCTTTCACTTGACTGGCCAGCCGGTACTGGGCTAGCAAGTTTAAATAGAAGATTTTATTTGCATTGGTGACTGGGGTTTGAGCTCCACCTGTCATGAGTTCTATAATCTGAAACAGGAGGCAAAAGACAGGAGAGGTTGTGGCTAAGCAAACTGTAAGCTGTATCAGCCTGGAAGGCCCTGCAAGCAGTGGACTGGACTCCCTCGGTGTCAGCCTCAAGTTCCTAATCTGCATGTGGCTTTTTAACACACTTGCTTTTACCTTTTGTTACTAACCTTCAGGGCCTGCACCACTTCTCCCACACCTGCAGGCTATGACCTAACATGGGTGTTAAGTGGGGTCTTCTCGCATGTGTGGGGCAAATGATGCAACAGGAAGATATGATTTCTTGTTAGCAATATTTTAACCAATAAACCACTGATGACCTTTTCCCAAAGCAGCTCTTTCATGGCTCTGCAATCTAAGGTGGAAACCGCCATTCCCACACATTCTTCTATCTCCCAAGTACACCAAGGGAAAGATCAATGGCTTCAGACTGGGAGATCTGGCATCCAAAACTCCAGCCCGATACCGACTTGGTACAGAACGTCAGTCTATTTGTTCCTCAGTTTGTATCTCTCTAGAGAAAAGCTGAACAAGCTTCCTGAGTCACAAACAGAACACTAAACACACATACACACTAAACAACGACTGAGGGGCATTCAAGGACGTCCCAAGCAATGAGATCCCGTGTATGGAAACCAGAGTTGTCTCCATAAGTGAATGAATGCCTCCATGACTTACAAGATCAGATTTTAAGGTCCTGGTAATATTTTAATTACATTGATGTGAACAATAAATCTTAATAACATTTCTTAGGCCATAGCTAGAAATGTTTATTCACAAAAACGCACCAAACTATAGCAGTAATGTAATATCCATAAGTATTAAAAAAAACAAGTTCCAGTCTCTTAATCTACTGAGAATCCTGCTGGTGAACAAGCTGCTGCTGTCCCTGGGGCCAAGGACTGAAGCCTAAGCTTTGTTCACTTGCTGCTCTGTTACATCAGCTCCAGCTAGGTACAGACCTCACTGGAACAAAGACAGAAAACGGCCATTCCGATCATTTTCAGTAGTATTTAGTTCTGATTTTTGAGACAGGGTCTCTCTATGTAGGCCAGGCTAGCCTCAAACTCACAGAGATCTACCTGCCTGCCCCTATCTCCCAACTGCTGGGATTAAAGGTGTATGCCACCATACCCAGCTGCCACATGTTTTCAGTCATTGCTACGTTCCCTTTAAGTGCATATTGTTAACTAGTTTCATAGCGGTGGTATCAGACCTAATGAAGTTTAATTATGTGTTGTTATTATGACTAGCTTCATTTTTATCATTTGATATTGCATAGCTCCACAATAAAACAAAAGCACATTTGCAACAATAACAACAAAGTATCTGGGCAGTAAGCTCAGCACTCAGGAGGCCAGCCTGAGCTACACTCTGAGACCCTGTCTCAAAAAAACAAACCAAACAAACAAACCTGACAAGAACATCAAAAGGGTTTAAAAATGGACAGCCATTGTGTTAAACTAAGAACCAGCCATCTACATCCCAACTACTCATCACTGACATCAGCCTCCCAAACTGGCCTGGTGCGACCACACTTCTTTGCCACTTGGTTCTTTGTAGTTGTTCCTTAACTGCACAGTCCTATTGGTACTGCTTTAGAGGGACCAGGGTTGTAGGGGACCCATAAATTCTGGTCTTCTTTATCACCTTATCCAGTTGACCTGATTTGTTATATTTTTCTTCTGCAAAGACCAGATCCATCTCACTCATGTCATTGTTGAGGATAAAGCAAACTTTGGACTTGTAGAATTCTGGGTCATCTGTTTCAAAGTACTGAGGAGAAAGGAAGACACAGAAGGTCATGAACACACTTTTGCCATGAATGAAATTTTAACTGCTTGATAGCACTTATATCTTCATCCTTAAGAATAATCAGCTCAGGGGCTGGAGAGACAGCTCAGTGGTTAAGAGCACTGGCTACTCTTCCAGAGGGCCTGGGCTCAGTTCCTAGCACCCACATGTAGGCTCACAACCATCTGTTACTCCAGTTCCAGGAGATCTGATACTTTCTTCTGACTATGTGGGCACCAGGGATGCATTTGGTGCATGTATATACATGTAAGCAAAACACATATACAGACAGAATAAAAATAAATAAATCCTATAAAAAAATAAAGGGGGAAAAATACTTTAGAAAGTCAGCTCATGTGGAAAGAGTCCAGAGCCAGTGGCCAGACTGTCTTAGAGGAAATGCACACCTAAGACGTTACCTTGTAATGCATACGAAGTCCTATGATTTGGGCCAGGAAAGACCGAGTGAACCGGGCACGGACCAACTGCTTGTAAGCTCCTCCCAGAGAGGACTCATACAAACACTTGCCCACCAGCCGCCCTGCAAACTCATACATCTTTAAGCGCAGGTGAGCCGGCCGATTGGGGTTAGGATGCACCTGTCAAAGAAAGACACGGAAAAGCCTTGGACCATTTTTATGTCTCCCAGTTCTGGAAAGGCCCTCCCTCCCATTGTAATGGACCACTATAATATGGACCCGGAATGTCTTCCAAAGGTGCCCAGTATGCCATCATCAGTAGGGCTCAGGTTACTGGGGTATACCCTGCCTGCTGGCCTCCTCTCCTTTTTTCACACCCCCGCCCTGAGGTGAGTGATCTCGTCATACTCTGCCACCAGGATGTGCACCTCACCACAGACCCCAAACAAGGGGGCTGACCAACCACAGACTGAAGCCTCTAAAAGGCTGCAGTGAGACAGTAATTTTCTCTTTATATGCTGATTGTCTCAGGCATTTTTTACAGTAACGGAAATCTGGCTCATACCCCATCTCAAGGGAATAAAATTTCAGTTTAAGGGTCACAGAGCAGACAACTGAGCAATTTAAAGTGGCCGGAGGATAATGGCTGCTGAAGAACCTTAGTTAGTTTGTGTACAGGATGATTTGAGTACAGGAGATAAGATGCCTCTCCCTAAACCAGAACTTTTTAAAATGCCATCAGATGCTTTACTTCTGACATCTCTCTAGTACAGATCTAAGACAGAAACCAAATGCCTCGGGCTTTCTTCTTTAGAAAATAGCTTCATTATTATAAATGAGCAAAGGAGCCATTGCAATCTAATGTCTTAACCAGATGCTCAACTATCTATTTTCCCCCTATTTTACAGATGAAAATTATGGAGCCAAATAAAAGGGAGGCAACTTGGTCAGTTCATTACTAATAGCAAACTAAGAGTAGAACACAAGCTGTCAAGACTCCGAGGTCAGCGGCGTGAGCCTCTGTGGTTTACTGTCCCACCCACCCGCGGGGAAGGCACGGACTCACTAGTGCTTGGTTGTTGTCACTGAACCGAGTGAAGAGCTGACTGGTGGTATCAAACAGTGCTTTGCAGATTAGCTCAAACCATTCCCGGCGAGGCCCTCCCCAATCCAAAGCTGAAAAGTACAATGAAAATTAAAAGGGATGCTGGCTGACTCCACCTCCTGCTGCTTCTCTTCCTAGAGTTACCACTCAACACTCTGAGCCTTCTAGCCCACTGCTGGTCTCTTCACCGCAGCTCGCCTGCATGGTGAACATTTTTTGGAAACCCCACTTCTTTCTCTAGAATTTAAGGTATTCTGATCACTAAACTAACAGAAACACAGAAGGTCAGAGGTCCCAGGACAAGGACACTCTGGGATCTGCAGTGTTCTTTTGCCCTGGTGTGAACTCTAAGAGCTCACCTGCATGTCTCTGTTCTCCACGCTCCATCACACCACACATCCAGGCCTCTTTCCTGACTCACAGAAACTGGGCCTTTCAGGGGTCGAGGAGCTTGTTTGGGATTTTCTGGAAAGTGTGGGAGTAGGAAGGAGAGCTAAAATGGTAAAATGAAACTTCAAAACTAACCTTCTTCATCCTGAAAAACCACTTCAAAGTTCTTGCTCCAATCTGAGATGGAAAAGTTCCGTGTGGCCTTCAAAGACTAAAACAGAGAGAGAGAGAGAAAGGAAGCTGTCAGAATACTGGCTGGCATTCCTCAGCTGCTAAAAACCAACCCCCCAGAGCACCACCACTGCCCCAAGTCAGCTACTACATGCAGGCAATATATGGCGCACAAGTAAGCGTCAGTGATACTGTCTTATATTAAATACACAAATCTCCAGGAGGACTGCAAGTTCAAGGTCAGCCTGGTCTACAGCATGACATCTCACTGGAGAAAAATAAACTATCTAATTTGAAATCATATTTGGAATTTGATAGTTACAATTTTTTCTTTCTTCTTTTTTCATAAACTTCATTTTATTAATGAAAAACCCCTTACATACAAGTTTTCTTTAAAAAGATACGAGTAAGTGATAAGCTGTAAACAAGAGAGCTGAGGAGTCTTGGTTTCCAGCAAAGCACAGACTATCCACCAGACATCTTTCCACAACAAGCAAAGGAGCCATCCTACATGGAGTGTGGCTGAGAAAGGGGGTTGCCAGGCACATCGACAAGAGCCAAACACCACAAATACTTTCTGGACAGGCACCAAGCCTTCTCACTCCTAGGGAATGTCAGACCCATGCCAATGTCTGTGGTGGAGACAAACACTCATCAGGTGTCCCATGTCTATCGACCCGAGTGACAACAAAAACTACTTCCTTCTAACCCAGTGGAAGCTCCTACCCCAGGGATGATGAACAGGCTGCTCCTCTAGCCACTACTTCCACCCCCTACACTGTGACTGTCCAGGAACTACGTCACCACAGACCAGAAAACTGAGGCATAATGAGACTCCCTCTGTTGCATGCTTCTAGTACATGCTGGCCCCAACCCAGCATGATAAAAGTATATACAATTTGAGAAGAACAAATGGTCTCTAATATGTTTAAAGGGATAAACTCATGTTTCATTAAAAAGATACATTGCAGGATATAGCCAAATACTGAAGAGGTCCTTAGCTGAAGAACTTGCACATAAAGACAAAACTACGTACCGATTCCAACAGGGCATGTCTGCTGACCTTCAGGGTAACTTTGGAATGAGGTCTCTTCATGTGTACCTGCCGAAGCTCTCGCTGGAAAAAGTCCACCTTGTCTTGAAACGTCTCCGAGCCTCCTGAGGAGCAACAAAGTTCATTACAACTTACAGACAGGTGGAGGAGCACCACTCTCCAGCTCAACACCCTCGGGGGCCACTGCCTTCCCCACCCTTACCGATGTTCTTGTGCAGGGAACGGATGAAAGTGGCAGCTAGAATGTTCCTTTCCTTGCAGCTGAGCTCCACAGGAGGTTGAATGCCATCATCCACCACCAGGGTGAGGAGCTTGTGAACAGGGTCAGGGCCAAGATAGGAAAACTAGCAAAGAAAATTGAGAAAGTGGAGACATTTGTCTATAAATCCCTTAATTTCAACAAAGCCCTTTACATACCTACTCTGCTACACAAACAACAGAAGCAAGGCAATGCCGTCTTTTATAAACAAGTACATGCCAGTATACCTCTTGTTTCTCTTATACTTTACTTAGTGCACACGTATGCAGATGTGTATTGTATGGTGCACGCCACAGCATGCACAGAGGTCAGAGGACAGCCTGTGGCACTCTTCTCTTCCACCACAGTGGTCTGGAGGAATGAACTCTGGTCACTAGACCTGGCTGGCACTTCCAGCTGCTGAGCCATCACCAGCCCTATCTCGATGATCTATAATTCACAGGTTTCTGTTTGTCTCTTTGTTGTTTTTAGTGTGTGTGCCCATGCAGTGCCTATGTGACAGTTTTCAGGACTTGGTTCTGCCTTGCTAAACACTGCAGCTTCCAAGCGATTCTCCTGTCTCTGCCTCCCATCCTGTTGCGTGAGTGCTGGGATCATGTGCCGCCACGTTTGGCTTTTTACATGGGTTCTGGAGATCAACTCAGATGGTCAGGTTTGGTTGACAAGTAAGTTGACTGCTGGTCCCTTCACAGGTTCTCACTGAAATTATCTGAGTCATAGAAACTGCCTTTAAGTAAGAATCCTGGGCAATACTGCAGACCTTCCAACATGAAGAAGGGAAACAGGAGCAACTCCTATTCCATACACCTGGAGAAAGTCATCTTCATAGACGATACACCTGAACCTCTGAAGCAAAGCTTACATTTAGGCTCAGAACAATTAGAAAAACTACAAAAGCAAAAAAGACAAACTTTTGAATATATGAGAACATTCCTTCTCATAGAATGAGCCAGGCACCAGGAGACCATCTACTGGCAGAGTAATCAACATCCTTTGAAAAAGCTGCTGCAGACAAAAGACCCTGGTAAAGAATTCTGAATGGCTATTGGTATATACCAGTCAAGGATCCAGTTTCTGTAGCACACTTCTCGTATATTCATGGCATTTAATGAGGGACAACTTTTGCTTTGTTTGGAAATGAATCTGTGCATAGAGAGAGAACTTTCAAAAACAATGAAAAAAAAAAAAAAAAAAAAGACTGATCACCCTGAGGTTGAGGCCTGCTCACCCCGAGGTTGAGGCCCGCTTGGCAGGAGGCGGACCTACAGTTCCCCTTACCTTTGTTCCAGGGCACACTCGGAAGGTGTAGAGGCGCCAGGGGATGATTTTCAGGTAGAATTCCTTCACTGAGAATTGCTGGGGACCAACACAGAAAATGAAGTGAGTGATAAATAAGAAGGCCCTATTTGGGTGTTAGAAGGCAAATAGCAAAGTCTTGTCTATATTCTTCATATGACAAAAGGATAATCTAGTCAGCACTAAAATAAATGTATCTGTGGAAGGCAAACCCAAACCTGACAGTACTATTTCACAAACACACGTCATCATCGCAATGCGCAGGTCCGACTCTCATTTTGGGGTGCTTGGAATTAGGTCTTCACTTTATGAGCACAAAACATGTCATCCTGGAACAACTAGGACCCCTTCTTTCCTGCAGCTGCTCAGTGACCCCCCAAGCCCACATACAGGCACCATGCCCACTGCTCCCTGGCTATTTGGTGTTGATTTGTTGTGGTTTGGTTTGAGAGGGTTTATGCCCTAGCCCAGACTATATTGGGACTCATGAGGCAGCCCAGGCTGTGCCTGATGTCAAGGTGATCTTGCTTCAGCTTCCCGAGTGCTGAGATTATAGATGTGAGCTACTAGCCTGGTTCCTTTGCCCTATCTGCATGGGGAGACAGGAAGAAGGGCTGGAGAGAAACACAGTGGGATCTCACACAAAAGTCCATCTAGATACCGAACTATGAGGACAAGGAAGACTCTTCTTATGCCATTTATAAAAGGAGAAAAGATAATGCATGATTTTTTAAAATCTGTTATGTGAATGTGTGTCATACATGTTCCCTTTTTTCAGTGTTTGGGACTGCCCCTCCTATGCTATAGGCATGTTCTACCACTCAACTACATCCCAGCCCCTACACTTTCCCTTATGACTTAAAGACCAATGCTTATTAAAGAAAACTTCCAACCAAACTAAAGAGAGGAAACAGTTCGCCGATTTTAGCAATGATGAATTCAGGGCTGCTGCGCTGTAATTTCTCACCCCACTCAGTGACCTCACTGCCACCCTCCACTACACAAGAAAGCTAGATTTGTAAATAAGAGGGCATCCAGAAGAAGATTAGGAAGCACAAGGGAATTTGAGCCCCGCTTTGACTGTGAGACTAAAGGAAGCAATAGAATGCTCCAATAGTCTCATTCTCGTGAGGACTAGACGAAGAAGAAAACACCAACAGTCAAAAGAAAGCCTCCAACAAGGTGCCCTGAACTCCAGGGCTTGGGAAGTTCACCTTCCTGTCTCTGCCAAGCTCTTCCTTACAGTCTTGAAGCCTGTTAGTGACAATCATTTAATGTTGTTTGACATTATCACAGAATGAAAGAGCAAATTGTTTCAATACAGCACAAGGGGCCAACAGGGATTTTTATCCTACTGAGGAATTACTGGTCGAAAGTGACCTTCTTTACAATCCTGACAGCCCCACCTTAGACAATCTTCCCCAAGCATTCACAGGACAGAATGTGCAGGTATTCAATAGTGCCGAGAGACACAGGCTCTGGTGGAGATCTGCCCTCGCACAAAGCAAACTCCTGCAGCAGCAGAGGGGACACAACCTTCTGTTCCATGTTAGGACGCCTCTTGTAGTGTCCCAGAAACCCTACGAGTAGATGACTGCCCTACCGACACTCAGACTGCCACTTTACAGTGTTTGTTACTAAATGCAAGTCATATACAGACTCAGATAGGGGATTTAAAGGTAAGAAAAGGAGCACCAACCTTTGGTGACACATAGCAGTACACCTTCTTGGGTTTCTTCACCTTCTCAGGGGTGTGGCACTCAGAGGGTGAGTCTTCATCATCCTCCTCAGCAGCGGTGGAGGGCCGGCGCTGAGAGGAGCTCATGTGCAAGGGAGGAAGATGCCACGGCGCACCTGTGCAGTTGTTGGCGTTGTAAAGGTAAGCCTCGAAGTAGATGCTCACCCCGGAGGTGGACACGTTGCGTTCGACAATATTCTTCTCATTCTCTGAAGCGGAAAGAATGAAAGAAGCTTGACATAGAAACGAGAGAGGACAAACGAGCCGCCGATGGTCACTTAGTGTACTGCAGGGCAGGAAGGTAAATGTGGGCTCGTCTATCAAATGTTTGTGGGGTGGGCAAAGAGCAGACATAAGAGGAAGAAACGCGCTGGGAAAGGGCCAAGTCACCGCTCTCAGCTCACCACTAAGGACAATCATGTCAAATTCGCCATTATTGATGGGCTGGTTCTGGTATGAGATGCAGGCACGGAAGCAACCTCGAGAATGCAGGGTGAGTCGCAGGAACACCTGGCACGTCTGCTTGTTGGATGTCACCGACTTCTCAAATGAGACTTCATTGTTCTTGTCTTCTTGAGCACCGAGCTACAGGAAGCAAAGTGTGACTCCATATGCTTCAAAAGAGCTTGCCCAGGCTCCTTTAACCTATGCCTCACACTTCCTAAACACACATGCACTATGAAATAAAGACGAGATGGCTCCAAAGTCAGGGGGAAGACAAGAGCTGGGAGCGAGGTTCCCAGGAGAGACCCTAGCTTTCTTGCAGATGGAAAAGAGAAGGACTTACCTCATGAATGGACAAGGTGTAGTTGTGCTCATCTCTCAGGGACATGGAGTTGTTGGTTGGGTTGTCATACTCATCTCGGGGCACTATCTGCAGAGTGTGTGGCTGACCACAGGTCAGCACAAGAGTGGAAAAATGGCACACAATTTTGGTTTTGGAAGGAACCACCATTCCTGAAACAGACGATGAAAGGCAATGGAGACCAAGAGAGAAAAACAGTTCACAGAAATTAACTTTGGGGACTTTTCTCTGTTGTTGATTCTGGGAGTGTTTTTACTTTTATTGTTATTTTTAACCACTTTCTGTACCAGACAAAATGAGAAAAGAACCTGAAGAAGATGGAACTAAAGGCACAAATACAGTGCTACAATTTCCCTGGGAGCCTTTGAGTGGGCCTCACAAATGAGTGCTGAAGCCAGGCGGAGTTCTGTGAATTCGAGGCCACTCTGGGCTACAGCGGGAGTTCCAGGATGGCCAGGGGTGACTACACACTGTGCAAGCATGGGGACCTAACCTGATTCCCAGAACACATGCACAGATAGGAAAGAAAAAAATTGTTTTCAAAGTTGTTAGAGGACAACGTTTTTGTCCTGTAATCTCTATGTACACACCAGCCATTGAATACACCACACTCGTACATACATATACAAGTAAAAATAAGCACTCAACAATGGCAAAACCAAAACTATAGGGCATGAAAGAGGGGCAAATCCAACAAAATATATATCAGAACTGTATACTGAGCACCATTAATGCTATGAACAAGGAAAAACTGGTTTGAAAAATATAGAATTTACTCTTTAAGAATTTCATACATATATACCATGTATTTTGGTTATATTCACCCATACCCCCTCCAACCCATCTCTACCCAACACCACCACATGCCCCTCCCAACTTCATTCCTTCTTTTTTAACCCACTGAGCCCAATTAGTGCTATCCCTTGTGCATGGGTGTGAAGACATCCAAATAAATAAAATATAGCTTGTTGATGAATTAGAAGATTCAATACAGAGGACGAGCCAACTTGCCCATGTTGAAATACAGTCTAATACAATTCTTACTAAAATCTTAGGGAAATACTCATAAATTAGATACTATACCAAAATTTGTATAGAAAGAAAAAGGAACTGGAATTAGCTAGAGCAGCTTTGAAAAGGAGGACTAATGGAGAAGAGCCGTGCAGGCGATAAAGCAGGTGCGGTAATCCAGGCTCTGGTACCAACTGGAAGACGGACACATCAGACAGTGTCACAGCACAGAACCCCAAACAGGAAAGACAACCCTCTTAACACAGTCCTTGGCAACCAGAGAGCTTCAAGAAAAAAAATAAAAAAAATTAAAAAACCCCAACATAAATCTCACATACAAAAATTAACTAAAAATGGAGCATGGCTTTAACACAAAGTATGAAATAATGAAACTTTTAGGAAAATTTTTGGGGAAAAATCTTTAGGATCTAGAATTAGTCAGAGATTTTAGACATGAAAAGCATGATCATGAAAGGAAAGAAAAAACCAGAAGTGAACTTTATCAATATTAAAAATGTTTTTATACCATGGAAGATCCTATTAGGATGAAAAGAAAAGCCAAGTTTTTAAATGCTTGAAAGGGGACTAGTGGTGCATAGGATTTATTTTAAAAGGCTCTCAAAACACAACATTGAAAACCCAAAAATTTCTAATTAAAAAATATACAAACATCATAAAAAGATATTTAACTAAAGAGGTTATACAGTTGTCACATAAACACATGAACTATGTTTATCATCACTAACCATCTGGGAAATGCAAAGTAAATACACATTTATCAGAATGGCTAAAGAACAGTGACAATATTACAATGGCAAGGATGTGAACAAAGGATGCAAATGTGACAGCCACTCTAGAAAAGAGTTTAACAATTTCTTTCCATGCAGGGCTGGAGAGATGGCTCGGTGATTGGAAACACTGGCTGTTCTCCCACAGGTTCAATTCCTAGCACCCATATGATGGCTCAGGACAGTCTGAGACTCCAGTTCAGGGGATCTGTCACTCTTGCACCCTCAAATAGACATACATGCAGGCAAAACACTAGTGTAGATGAGAATAAATCTTTACAACAAAACAAACAAACAAACAAACCTAAAGATGCAGCCCTTTAATCCCAGCACTCCGGAGGCAGAGGCAGAGGCAGGTGGATCTTTGTGAGTTCTGGTCAGCCTGATCTACAGAGTGAGTTCCAGGACAGCCAGGGCTACACAGAGAACTCCTATCTAAAAAACAAACAAACAAACAAACAAAAAAACCAACTAAACCAAAACAAAACAAAAAACCCTAAAGATGTGATTATCAAGTATCTTGGTAATTACACTTCAGGGTATTTACCTTGAGAAATAAAAACTTTTGTTCATACACACAAAAAAAATGTACATGAATGTTAATAGCAGCTATGTTGATAACAGGAAACAATCAGGTGTCCTTCAACTGGTGAACAGCTAAACAAATATCCACACCACTGAACAGTACTCGCAAAGAGAAAACAACAACTGAGATACCTGACAACCTAGATGAACCTCCAAAAGTTCAGCCAGCCTTGACCAGTTGCTCGGTGTGGGTCTCCCTCTCTAACACCCTTCAAATGACCTAGTGCAGAAACGTTCTGGGACTTTGGTTTGAGACAGGGTCTGTGTATCTCAGGTTGGCCAAGGAAGACCTAGAACTTCTGATCTCCTGCCTCTGCCTTCTGAGCGTTCACGATCCAGATCATTGCTGACATGGATCACTGGATCTGGTGTTTGTAAAGGAAACAGAAACTAGATTACTGGTTTCCCAGGGTTTAGAACAAGCCTGTGGAAGTGAGAGTAGAGAACTGCAGAAGGACAACACAAGGGAGGAGCCGGAGAACGGCAGAAATGCTTTGTCCTTTTTTTCTAAAACTTTACATTTTACTTTTATTTTACGTGTATGCATGATTTCCCTGAATGTATATTTGTTCACCATGTGCATGCCTGGTACCCATGGAGGACAGAAGAGATTGTTGGATCCCCTGGGCCTGGAGTTAAAAGATGATTGTAAGCCACCATGTGGGTGCTGGGAATTAAAGCAGGATTCTCTGGAAGAACAGCCAGTGCTCTTAACCGCGGAGCCACCTCTCCAGCCTTGTTCTGTACCTAACTGTATTAATGTCAGAAACATGACTGTGATATTGCACTACATCACCAATATACTACAATCTGAAAGATGTCACCACTGGAAAACTAGGTTAGGGTATACCTCATCTCTTATTTATCATGCATGTGAATATATAATTCTCAAAATAAGTTTAATTTAAAACAGAGATGGTATGTAAGGATATAAATTGTTCCCCATTGGTGGCAAGAAGAATGTGGCAATTCAGGTGCAAAGAGTCTGAGTGAGGCATTCAGGCAAAGGAGGCTGAGCAATGCAGAGACGGCTTGTTCAGTCTTCCTTTGCTCTAGACAAAGAATAGGGACCATTCAAGCAAGACTCACTAGTCTTCCTAAGACTTCAGTCTCTAAGATGTGCCTCCACAAGTCAGCCAAGGTCCTATCATTTTTATGGACACCGAACTAGACAATATCTAATAACATCTTTAAAAAAAAATGCAAGGAGGTCATAAAGCACAGACAGGACCCCAACACACTAAACCCTGACATTAAGAACCAGAGATTACAGTTTGGACCTCAATCTCAGTGAGCATTTGTTATCTGGCATAAAGGCATGAAGACGAAAAGGCACAGATAAGGGCATGAATCATGGGCAGATGCTCTTCAGTGGGAAGTAAAATACATATTGACAGTACCAGTGGATTTGGGCCAAGGTGCTTTTACTTGGAAATGTCTTTTTAAAAAAAAAAATCAGAAAAATGTTTCTCCTTTCTATTCTGATATCTTTGGCCCTTAAGACCCCGTCGGACTGGTTACTCAGCAATTCTATTCCTTGAGAAATAGAAACACATGCCCACACAGAGACCCATGCATAGATGCCAAAAAGACCGCAAAAGCATTACTATTTTTCTTACTGCCTCCAAGCCTGCTGACCTAAATGTGCTCTCCAGAACCCATATGATAGCAGGAAAGACCTGACTCTACAAATTGTCCTCTGACCTCCACATGCACACTGTGGCTTAGATATGCCCCTCACACAATAAATGGATGGATGGATGGATGGATGAATAGATATAGACAGGCAGATAGATGATAGGAAGATGATAGACACATAGATAAAGAACATTTACAGTATTCTTATTCTTGTGAGTCAGGAAGCAGCGTGGGAAGAAACAACCTAGATGTGCACTAAGAGGGCTGGGGCGGAGGGGGGTGTAGAGAGGGGTGCGCAGACCAGGCTGTCCTAGTAGCCTGACAGAGACCAGGCCTTAGTTTCGGTTCACTAAAATGGGACAGAGCTAAACAGACAGTCCTCAAGAAAACCACAACTTAGGAGCAACCAATCAGCAGGCACTCCACAGCCTTCTGCTAGCTCAGCAGGCCCCCAAAGCCCCTTTGCTGGCTCAGCAGGCGTGCCCCAGTCTCCTGATAACTAAAGATAGCTTTCCCTACCTTGCTGCTGGAACCTCCCCCCAATCAGCCCCCAGACTAATCTTTCCTCTACCAATCAGCCCCAGATTAATCCCTCCTCCCTGGAATTTCCCTAACTCTGCTTAAAAGGAGCTTGCGACCTTCTTGGGGGGTCACCATGTGTCACTCCAACATTGGAATTAATGAAGTGCTCTTGTTACTGCATATGTGGCTGTTGGTCTTTCCTTGGGGGCTTCTCTCGGACCCTAACATGCACAGCTTACAAAAAGACAAATAATATGTGGCATATTACTTGTCAAGTAAAAGAAATGAAGAACTAAGCATGATGCGGCATAGATAAACCTTACATTAGGTCAAATCAGTCAAAAAAGCCTCATATTTTATGATTATGCTGCTAGAACTGTCCAGAGAAGGCAATTCCATAGCAACAGACTAGTGGCTATGGTTGGGGACATGGCAACAAACTTGCTAATGGGCCTGGGGTTTCTTGAGCCATAATGAAAATCCTCTAAAGCTGAATGTGGTGAATTCTGCCAAGCAATGGCTTTTGCATCCATTACATTTTAAATTGATGAATTCTGTGTTAAGTGAACATAATCTCACAGTGTTATTTTTTAAAGAAAGAACTGGGAGTCCTGTTCGGTGGCAGAGCACATGCTTGGCCCGGGGCTCCGGATCCCATCATACCCTCTAGAAAAGAGAAGAAAGCACAAAGGAGGGACAGGGAAATAAAAGGACAAAGAATAACCAAGGACCTACCAGGCTGAAAAATTTTGTAGTAGGGACTATAGGCCACATTTAATCCACCGAGCTTCACAGTGATCTCGTAACGCCCCGCCTTGCGCACAGTGAAAGCCACCTTTACCACGTTGGAATTTGGCTCTTGGAGGACTTCCTGGGTCACTGGAATTTCCACTGCTAGTTCGACGTGAGAGATGTGAACTCGCAGTCCCACGGGCCGATGGGCGGGGAAAGGCTGTCCATTCTTATAGAACAACTGCAATGGGAGTGGGCACCCATTAGTGAAAATGAGGGGTGATCAGAGTATGGGGCAGAGGAAGCAGTTGGCCAAGGTCACACTGGGAAACCCCAGTCCCTACCTGTTCCTTTGAGTTTGCTTTTAGCGACACAGTGAGAGGCTAATTCATACCCACAGCAAAGAAAACCATTAAATCATGGACAAGTTCTTTTCCTGTTCGGAGGACAGGGCAGCATACACCGTCGAGTCAAGAACACACCAATTTCAACTTGAGGTTTCTGAACAATAAATGGTGCCTCAGTGTTCCCGGCACTGTTATACAACCAATATATAATGGTAACCCGAATGCAAGGCAGTAGCCAGCAGCACAGCGCCTAGCATTGGCACCGAGGGGGAAGGAAGCACCAGGCAAAGGTTGAGGGGTTCAGGCTCGCACACCAAACTTAATGCTACCTAGTGGAGAAGGTGCTGGATGGGTTGTAAAGGTTCTTTGTAAGGTGCCAGAGAATAAATATTTACGGCTTTGTGGACCATAGACAACTATCCTAATTATGCAAACGAGAAAGCAGCTGAAGGATGCTGTGGGACGACGGTCTTGTAACCTGTAAAGATTGTACTGTAGTGGCTTTGTATTGTTTTGTATTTGTACTGTACTGTATTGTTAAATATTGTCACTTGTATTGGCTTAATAAAACGCTGATGGGCCAATAGTCAGGCAGGAAGTATAGGTGGGCTGACCAGAATAGGAGAATTCTGAGAAGAGGAAAGGCTCAGTCTGCAGTAGTCACCCAGACGCAGAGGATGCAAAATGAGAATGCCTCACTGATAAAAGGTAACAAGCCATCTGGCTAACACAGACAAGAATTATGGGTTAATGAAAGATTTAAGAGTTAATAAGAAGCCTGAGCTAATGGGCCAACCAGTTTATAATCAATGTAGGCCTCTGTGTGTTTCTTTGGGACTGAAAGGCTACAAGACTAGGTGGGACAGAAACCTCTGTCAACAGAAGGACAAGTGAATATGGCTGTGTTCCAATTAAAAGGCATTTACAATGCCAGGCAGTACATACCTTTAATCCCAGAATCTGGGAGACAGAGGCAGGCAGATCTGTGTTCAAAGCCAGTCTGGTCTAGACAGTATGCTTCAGGACTGTCAGAGTTACCTAGTGAGACCCTGTCTCAAAAAAAAAAAAAAAAATAAAAATAAAATAAAAAAAAAATAAAGAAGAAGGAAGAGGAGGAAAGAAAGAAGGAAGAAGAAAAGAGGAGGAAGAAGAGGAGGAAGCAGCATTTACAGAAACAGAACTGGGGCTTGCTTACGCTTTCAGGCTAGATTTACTAATTCCTGATCCACAACCCCTCCTCCCACACTTCCTTCTGCCCTTTTCTTTCTTGCCTCTAGTCCCCTCTTTTAAGACAAGATCACACAATATAGCTCTAGAACTCACAGAGATCTGCCAGCCTCTGCCTCGTGAGTGCTGGAATTAAAGATGTTTATTTTGGGCCTTTTATTTTTGAGTCAAGAGTCCCATACAGTTTAGGATGGCTTTGAAATTCCTATGTAGACAAGGATGACCTTGAACTCCTGATCCTCTTGCATCCACCTCCCATGTGCTGACATCATAGTAGTGCAAATCCAAGCAGCCTCAATACTGCTCTTCTTATTTAAAAGGCTAACATTAGGCTTTCCACTTCATCAAAGCCATGTACCCAGTAAACCAAAAGGCTAGGAAAATATTAACAATCCCCAAGTTCCTGGGAGGGACTGAAAAACAAGGGAAAATGTTGACATCTAGCCGGCACCACCAAGATAGCACTGGGCTCTGGGAAGCCAATGACTCAGAAACCACAATGGGTATGGAGACAAAAACATTCCCTTACATGCACTCGGAAGGCCATGCTGTGGCCCACCTCATAGGGGTCCTTCCAATCCCAGAACACTTTGCAGGACCGGGGATCCAGGTAATTTCCCCGCACGTAGTCATAAATAGTCCGGTCCCCTCGGCGCTCACGGTCTTCATTCTGAAGAAAGCTGACTACACGTGCGGCAAGCTCAAAGAGGAACTTAATTGTGAAGAAGAATGCAACCACAGACACTGTGATTCCACCTATGTGAAAGAGAAACACACATCAGCTGCCAGGTACACATTATAATTCCCACAGAACACACTGGTCAGCTCACAAAGCTTAAAGAAGTCAAGATGAGCCTGCGAGACTATAAAAACCAACACCATACTGGGCAAAGAGAGAAACTTCTAGACCAGGAGTAGGTAACTACAGTACTCAGAGCCAACTCACAATGCCAGCTTTCTGTAGATTAAGTTATGCTGGGACATCACCTCACCCTGCCCTAAACAAACTGTGGCTGCTTTTTTGGAAGATTACTGTATGTTTTTCAAAATGGGAACATATTTACTCTCCTGCCTTTTACAAAAAGTCTGCCAACCCCGTTCTATTCCATGATGCCCATACAATGCCCCCTCTACCTTTCCTGCCTGTTTCGCCCCTCACAGAAGCAGTCAAAACAATGTGCTTTTTGGTTCCCTCCATTTAGAAGCCTTCTGTTCTCTTGTCCACTTGGCAAAAGCCTCTGCAAGCCCATCAGTTAGGAGTTCCTTCTCTTGGGCATCCTCAAACTTCTGCATTTATTAACTTCTTTATATTTACCCACCTTCCCCTTCATGTTGTGAGTTCCTTAAAGGCAGATTTTTGCCTTGATTTGGACTTTACAGTAAACAGTGTCTGGCACAGACTGTAATTACTCAATACATATTTCCCAAATGAATGAACTTCTCTGCCAACTGTGGGAAGGTAATTTTGGCACAAGTGAAAATATTTCTAGCTCCATTTTCAAGGAGGAGGAGGAGAGATAAGGAGGCAAATAGGAATTAGACAACAATAACCAAAAGACAAGCAAAAGAAATTTCTACCACCTACCAATGACGTAAAACATCAGGTCTCTTCAATGCCAACAGACAGCCGAGGATCACAGCCGCAACTGCAAAAGACACTCTGTTCAGTGCGGCTCCAGTCTCTAAAGTCACCTCAGAGAGAGCAGATAAAGCAGAGCACATGGCTTAGGTGAAGCAGCTCTAGTCTAGCGCCCTACCATCCCTGTCCTCTCTGCCAAGCTTGACAGGGGCCCGCGCCATATGTCAGATAACTAAGGCAAGGCCATAGCACTCCCCACAAAGGTTACATCTACTGATACTCCTGGAACACCACAAGCAGCCTCCTGCTAATTACAAAGATGAAATGAGAAGACAGTTTTCATCTTCTCTGACTCTGGGTTCCCAAGACAGTTTCCTTCTTCCATGCAAAGTGGTGCTAACCAGTGCAAGGAAAGAAGATAATGGGATACTTTCCCCGAGTGTTATTTGCCCTCTGAAAGTAATTCAGCCAAGTAGAAACATCTAGATAAATTAAAGATTCTTTTTTACAAGTAAACATGATCACCGTGTGGGCATTACATAACTAAATGAACTCTGGGCCATCCAGATAATGAGTAGTGGGTGCAGAGAAGTCATTCCTGACATTACCAGATCACACAAACTAATGCGCCCTCGGGAAGATGAGTTCAACAGAAGGCTGGGGAGAGGAACTAAAGGAGAGAGGAGGCTACCCACTAAGGTCAGAATTTCAGGGAAATTTTTCACTGTTATTCAACTTACTCCGCCAACCCCATTTCTACATGAGCACCCAGCACTTACTACTCAGACACAAGACATCTAAAGTTTCTAGGCTCAGATCTTGGAGGGCACAAAACAACTTTTAAAAGGGGGAAGGAAACAAGCATCTGTGTGCTTTTCTATCTGAGTGTGCGTCAAGTGTTTGAGAGAGAGGGTGACTGGAGCACTTGGGAGGCTGAGACGGGATGACGGCTGACAGTTTAAGACCTTGTCTCAAAACGCAAACCAGAGGTGCTAGTGGAGCTCATTAGTTGGTGAATAGCCTGTTCCACACACAGACGGACTTCAAGGTTGATCCCCCAGGACGCCTGTTAATAGGTGTGGCAGAAGCAGACACGAGAGGATTCCTGGAGCTTGTCAGCCAGCAGGAGAGCAAATTTAAGCTCCAAGATCAGTGAAAGATGCTGTCTCAAAAAGTGAAATGAAGCCCAACCAAGAAAGACACTCAGTGTCACCTTCTGGCCTCATCTGAACGCTTGTATAAGGGCATCTGCACACATATGTATGGACACACTAAACATGTATATACACGCACATAATGGAGGCAGAAAACACCCTCTCCAGTTTCTCTGTTAATATATTAAGTAGAACCCAGAGTAGGCAACTTAAGGAACGAGCACCTCAACTTCTACAGGAATGCCTATAGACTGGGTCTAAAGTGCTGCTAGACGAGAAACCCACAAAGGAACACTGGAACTGCCAGCTCGTGCAGTCTCAGGTATTCCCACAAGAATCTACCATAGAGAGGGCATGCAGACTCAAAGCCTGAGACTACAACTGCTGAGCCTCCTTCCAAATAGTAGCTCATCTCTGGGGACTCTATGGAGAAAGGTTGTCATGATATCACTTACAAACATCTCTGTTCCTCACAGGCTATGCTAGATGGTTCTATGGCATCAAACTGGGAGTTTAGCTGTCGGGGTACTGCTAAACTGGCGGCCACCCCACGTGAAGCCTCCAGCTCTTGGGAAGCTGTGGCAGCTGACAGAAGTGAAGCACACATGGCTGATGGCAGACTTGCATCTCAAGCCTCTTGAGCCTTGGACAAAACTTACAGCCTGAGACACGGGGCAGGAGAACTCCTATCCAGCTGTCCTTCCCTCCGCGGGGCAGCCGGGGTCTGAGCTGCACTGCCTCTGAGCGTCACAATTTTTGCTGCTGTAGTAAGTTAGAATTTAGTATTTTCTGTGTCATCTCCTTTAGCATGCATGAGTTTGGATAACTCCCCATATGATAACTCAAAAACAAGAGAGCGTAACAAACAGTAAAATATAGAGGAACAAGACACCTGCTTGTTCCCTGAGTTAAGAGTCATAGGTGCAAAGTGTGACCCTGGCCAAGCCATCTCATCTCTTTACCAAGTGCCAGTTGTCTTCTCTGCACATTTGTGTGCTGTGGGAATTTAAATAAGCTAACACATGTTAGGCTGGAACTATGCCTGGAACACAGTGACTTTTCACAGTCTCATGGTGCTTATCTCTAGAACTAGCATCAAAACTCTGCTTCAGAGCGGACAGGAAATTCAGGGACCCTCTACTGACCCCAGCGTTCTTCAAGAAGAAATGTATTGCCAGGCGGTGGTGGCGCACGCCTTTAATCCCAGCACTCGGGAGGCAGAGGCAGGCGGATCTCTGTGAGTTCAGGCCAGCCTGGTCTACAAGAGCTAGTTCCAGGACAGGCTCAAAAGCTACAGAGAAACCCTGTCTCGAAAAACTAAAAAAAAAAAAAAAAAAAAAAAAAAAAAAAAAAAAAAAAAGAAGAAATGTATTAGCAATGACAAAGGACATGGTTTCTCGCTGGACCAGCAAATCTTACCCTTCAAAAAGAGCTCTTCACACTATTCTAACGTGGGTGACTGATAATGTCTATAAGAAGTTAAAACTGATTGAAACAAAGCAGCCAACAAAGACTGAGTGTTTAATGGTATCAGGTGCTGGGGATGGCACAGACGTAACATCCACTCGTGACCCCAGCAGTAATCAATCACCTCTGTCTTTTTGAATCTTCAGCCATTATTTCTCCCTAGTCACTTATTTCTGAGCCAAATTATTAGTGCTAGCTTTTACATCACCTAGACCTTTTCCACTAAGTCATTTCTTCAGCTCTACCACAATTCTTCTCAGAGCGCACAAGCCAGTACCAACGACTACTCTTCCCAAAGGCCTCTCCTCCTCTCAGAACATATGAGTAAGGCACCCGCTCTGTCATCTCCTCGCCCATCAGTCTGACCTTTAGAAAACATCGCCTACTCTCACATCACAGCTTAAAACCTTCCCTAAAATACTCACCCTTCTCCAAGTTTCCCCCGAGGTCACAATGTGAACTTGTAATCCTCTACAGCTTCTCCTCAACGTCAGCCAGAGGGTTCTGTCCGCCCTGTCTGTCCTGCTACACCCTCCACTGCTTTCCTTGACCACACCTCACACTCACTCACCATTTCCCCTCATTATCAATTCTGTGCTGCCCAGAGCAGATCCTCACACTCACACATTCACACCCTGAAATGTCCTGTCTCCGTGCTTTTTCAAAAGTCATCTCCTGGTACAGTAAACTTGGTCAGAAACCATGATTGAGGTCACAGACCCCAGCAGAGAAGCTACTGTGTTGTTGAGCTAAATAGACACGATGTGTCTGTTAAATTGCCTTCTAAAGAACTGTGTTTATATTCACAGGTTACTGCTGTTGACACCTGTGGTTGTTAAGAGAACTTTGGGTTTGCTGTGGGCAGGGGTAAGCACACACTCAGAGCTGGTCAAACTGATAAAAACAGTGACCTGAATGCTCAACAATAAATGGGACATTTATCACCCTAGTCAAGGCTCAAGGAGCACTGCAGAAGAGAAAGCCAAAGAATTTAGGAACCAAAGAGAGAGGAACGGGTGGGATGCTGTCTTCCAGATATCACACGGCCACTGCCCTTTGGAACTCACAGGACCTGCATAAGATGGAGCCCATGAAGATTCTATCACGGAGAGGAGATGAACTCAGGAGGCCTGACCCCTTCCTGAGGATTAAAAGGTAGTTAATAGATAATATTTCAGGAGATATTTTCATCAGTGACATAGTCACTGGTAATGTGACCATGCTCCTGCAAATATAATCAAAATGTATTATGTATACATATTTAATCAATAATGTCCACTGTCTATCTTTCGTCTCATTTTCAATTTTCATCCATGAACCTCCAAGCATAAGATCTCCAATTTTCAATTTAGAAACTCGTCCTACCTCTGAATTTGTGCTTAACTTTGAAATTTTTCTTCTATGGCATTTACACTGTTTTATTCCTGTTTTATTTTTCATTTCAAGGAAGTATGAGAAAAATTGTTGTTTTCGGGGGGGGGGTTGATTTTGTTTTGTTTTTTATTTATTTTGAGGCGGGGCTTTTCTGTGTAACAGCTCTGGCTATCCTGGAACTCATTTTGTCGACCAGGCTGGTCTTGAACTCACAGAGATCCACCAACCTCTACCTCCTGAGTGATGGGATTAAAGGTGTGTGCTACCATCATCCAGATGACAAAATCTAATCTTAACTTCTCCTATGGGCTGGGCAGAGTTCTGTGAGTTCGAGGCCAGCCTCGTCTACAAAGACCTCTCCTAGAGGAGCCAAAGATGGCTTAGTTGGTTCCTGCTGCACAAGTAAAAGGACCTGAGTTTGGGTTCCCAGAACCTACACAAAAAAGCCTGAAATCCCAGCCCTGCCCAGGGCAGAGAAAAGCAGATTTCTGAAACTCACTGGCCAGTCAGCCTAGCCAAATTGATAATAAGCTTCAGGTTCAGTGAGAAATTCTGACTGAAAAGTAGAGGTGAAAAGTCATTGAGGAAAGACCCTTATTAACCCTGGGCTTTCACACACATGGTGGGTTCCCATGACTATATTCATACATAACAAAACATACAAAAATAGTTTCTAAAATCCTCGTCCAGTGTAACAGTAGATAGAAACCACAACAATATGAATAGAGTATTGGTTAGACTGGTATCATCCCTTCGATCAGATGCCTATGGTCTAGAGTTTCACAGGTGGGCCTTCCTTTTAGATCCAGTTTAGTTCTGTCTGCTATAGTCCTGTGATGGAAATCAAGGCTTCAAGCATTAAGAGAGGTCTACAACTAATCTACACTTCTAATCCTAATATATTTCTTTTTGTTTTATCTTATTTGGGGGTTTTGTCTCTTTGGTTTTTCATTTGTTTGTTTTAAGACAGGATCTCAGTTCAGCCCTAACTGAACTGAAAACCACTAAGTCAACCAGACTGGCCTCAAACTCAAAAAGTTTGCCTGCCCCTGCTTCCTGAATGCTGGGATTAAAGGTGTGCACCACACTCAGCCCAAATACAGTTTTAAAGCATAGATTTAATTACCATCTCGAAAAATCAATTAGATCCCAAATTACTAATTTCACTCAGCTTGGCACATTTACCAGATGATCACAGGAGGGCCGTGGGCTCACTCTCTCTCTCCTCCCTCTCTCTCTCTCTCTCTCTCTCTCTCTCTCTCTCTCTCTCTCTCTCTCTCCCTCT